CCAATCCCTCAAGAACCCCCCTCCCCACCCCCACCCCCACGTGAAATTGAACGTGTTAATTAAGCAGAGCGCGGGGCTCGGAGGAGACGGCCATGTCAACACCGACCCACAATCAGGATGTAACCCCTGGACCCCCAAGACCCCCGGCACATTCGACCCCGTCTCGCGACATCTTCGACAAAATGAGCGCGGACCTCTGAGTGGTTAAGAAACGCCGAAAAGCTCCCCAAGGGGAAGGAACTCAACTAGGGAAAAGGCTCCCCCAATTGACCTCCCCTTGTTGTCCCGTCACAAAATGACAACGGTCCCTCTACCAAAATCTCGCCCCATTTTCTTTAGGGTTTTCATTTTGGTTTCATTAATTTTCTTTCAGGGATTTTAATCTTCGCATCCATTTCATTTCGTCGTATCTCAGTTCGGTTCTTTCGCCTTTTCTTACTTTTTTTCTCTTTCTCTTAGGAAATGACTACTTTTTCTTCCCCAACTTTTAAAAAGCTCAATACATTTTTTTTCCCGCTCTTACATTGGGGTGGGTAGGAGGTGTGATGAAAAAAAAAGAGAAATAACTCTCTCCTGTTAGCAATATTGAAGCTAATTCTCGCCCCTTGTGACCTTCATTTCCTTTATAGGTAAATATTACCTCCCCTGTGATGAGGGGCCAATGAAGACAGGACCGGAACAGCTCCAGAAACTCGCGAGTAGGAGATTGTCTGCTGGGATGAGGGTGGGGGCTGCAGGAGGGGTGGTAACCAAGGAAACACGATTCCTGGGCTTAGGTTATAGGGTTATTGTTTGCCCGTTGATGGGCTATAAGTTTAGGATGTAACGTGTTCGTCTGTCTGTAGCTAGACTTAAGGTTTAGGTTATGAAATGATTCTCAGAAAATGCGCAAGAGAAAAAATACGCAAGCGAATATTACGTAAACAGAAAAATGCGCAATAATAATACTAAGACACTTTCACTTTGTCGTATTGCATAGAAAACTATTTATTATAATCAGGTGGTCATTCTTTGATAACATCTATAAATGATCGATTTACACACAAAAATTCCATGGCGCACATTTTTGAAGTTTTCCGCTGCGTAGTTTTTCGTTGTGTATTATCTGATCACAAATCAATTACTGTCCGAAATATCATTAGACTGATTAAAATACTATTAGGCTCACTAAAAGATCATAAGACTGTCCGATATATCATTAGACTGACCATAAGACTATTAGACTGACCAAATGATCATTAGACTGACCAAAAAATCATTAGACAGACCAAAAAAATCATTCGATTGACCACAAGATAAATCGAGAAGAAGCCGAACAGACTTACAAAACTACTAATAGATTATTCACAAGAAAATCAGTACATTGGTAGCGATAGACCACGACTTCTAACCCAGTCTCAACAAGATTGAACTGTACACCAGACGCTCGCCTTAAGCACCTCTACCAAACAGCACAGTCAGGCCTCAAGAACAGTTTTTTAGGCAGTGATTCTCAAATGCTGATAAGCTAGAACTCTTTGATTGACCAGAAATATAATTCCCACTCATCTAACACAATTGATTTTATTATTATTAAAAAAATAATTGATCACAATTTAAGGCTTTCACGCAAGAGCCTTGATATTTGATCCCGTGGAATGTATTCTTCTACTTCAGGGGACGCTACTCTCAAGAACAAAAGGTTTTGAGGTTACTTCAGATTGTGAAATCAATGTGTTGTAATTGGCTGGTTAATCCGGTAGTTTTGAAAGGCTTATTGGTGGCTGGGCTTAGCGTTAATTAAATCCTGACTAACGAAACAGTCATTGCTCTCAACGAAGTGTGAGTTAGATCTAAGTATAGTTTGGAGATATAACAGAAAATGTAAATATTTTAGACAAGCTTAAATGAATGGTTGTAGAACCTGGCATTGAGCAGCAACATTTCCGGTTTGCATAGCTCTGTTTCCGGTTTGTTCGTAGAAGTCATTTATAGAAAAAATATGAAATTAAAAATTTATTTTTAATTTAATTGAAAACTTATTTTAATATTAGCCGAAAAGATAAAACAGTTCCGCTTAATTTCTTGTCAACTTTAAGGATCCACAACATTTTAAATGCAAAGGTTAAGTGAAATCCATGCAGGAAATCGAAAAAAGGAAACAGATTATTGGTGTCCTAATTCGTTTTTCTGTGTAGATTCCTTGTGTAAATAAAAAAAAAAACAACACACACACGCCTGAAATGAATGTTATTTTTTAATCAATATTTTCAAATTAATTTAAAAACAACAATAAACAATCACTCTTGCGTCTGTTTAACTATAACTCAGAATTTTTTAAAACTCTTGAAAAACGATATTCAATCAGAGTTTGATCCCCTTGCTTTGTGATCCCATTCCCCCATAATGCCCGGCGGCCGTCGAGTGACGTCACATGCAAGTTAAAATGGCGAGGATTACCAGGGGTTTGTAATGTTAGGGTATGATTCAATTTTGTTTTCAAACATTTTTAAAAACCCAGTTTTTACAGTATCGATTACTATGCCCTTAATGGTATCTGACATGCAGCACAAAGTACTGCTGTTTAGACACGTTTAATTGTCGATAAAATGATAACTACAAACTGTGTACTCTCTAATTTGCATGGTCATCTTTAGCAGTAGAATAAAAAAAGTATATATAGAGGGTTGGACCACTATATCCTAAGTGACTACGGTATGATATTCACATGATATTCATGTTGTATTGGTCGAAGTGTCAAAGAGAGCGACTAAATATACTAGTGTCTTCAGCTCATACAAATAGAGCAGTTTTTGTCTATTGAATACTTTGACGCTTTTCTGGGTTACTCGGGGATGTGTAAGTTAAATGTAAAATTTGGATCTGTTACATGTAGATACAGTACGAGGTATAAAGTTGATATGTATATTGTTAATTTTTAAAAGTGTGTTTGTTATATTCGGCTATATTGCGATATGCTGTTGCTTCACATTTTGTGGATAAAGTAGTAATACACTAGAAAACCTTGACTCGTCGTTCTTAAAGACACATTTTCTTTAACTGTAACTTCGACTCGAACGTTATTTTTACCTATAGCATTAGTATTGATTTCAACCTTAATCCTAATTCTATTCAAAGCGGTAACTGCCCGATTTCCTTTAAAAATTAAACTCATAAGCTCTTTACACTGAAAAAAAAATTGGCAAGAAAACATTTGGCATAAAAATATCTATAAACAAACCGCATTCGACACAAGAGTTTAAACAAAAATCTGAGTCACGTGACATCAAAAGCTCCGGGTGTACAGTCACGTGGTCCAATGTAATCACGTGGACTCGGTGTAATCTACATAAAAATCTGGCAACCCGTCTTGTATTTGTCGAGGGAAGAAAAAAAAATCCGTTCGTCAAATATGATAACGTTCTCATCCCCGGGTTAAATATTGAACAACAAAAGATGAAACGGAGTCTCTGATTTAATGAAGGAGGTATCTGCATCCACCGGAAGTGGAGAAAATGGAAAGCGAAAGTGGATGGAGAGAATAGAAGGAATGAATACATTGATGGGTGGAAAGTTTGGATATGGGTTTATTAAATGCGTGGATAAAAAAAGGGTAATAGCTGTTTATCAATTTTAGGGACGGGGGAGGGGTGTTGTTAGCTGATAGAAGCAAATGTGATTTGGCTTAAATCACTGAAAGAACCAGTTAGATTGTGAAGGGGGTGGGGGGGGGGGGTGTTGATGGACAATGGGCAGGGATGTGGGTGAGTGGTGTGAGGTATGTTTGAATGGATGTCCAGATATGTTGAACAGATAGGACAGCGAGTTGAATTGCTTTTTTTCTTCTTCTTCTTCTACTTGTATAAGGGGGAGGGAGGGGTTGTACCCTTTTAGATGCGAACACGATTTCGTCATTGAAGGAGAGCGAGACACAGAGGACACGACGATAAGGAGGCGGCGAGAGAGAGAGAGGGAGGGGTAGGGGGGTAGGGTGGAGGGGTCGGAGAGGAGGGGATTGAGCAGACGTGAACATGATTTCGAAGTGAGTGTTTTATCATGTATCGGAGGAGGGCGCGTGCTTAATCTAATGGAGGCGCGCGTGAGCGCATTGGCCATCGAGGTGGACGCTGGTTTATCGCCCGGACAAAGATGGGCGGGGTGGGAGTGGCGGGTGGTGCATGCACATGCGTGGAGTGGATTGCTCGCTTGTAGAACACAGGATGGAGGGCAAATGTGATGTAGAACATAGGATGGAGGGCAAATCTGATGTAGAACATAGGATGGAGGGCAAATCTGATGTAGAACATAGGATGGAGGGCAAATCTGATGTAGAACAGAGGATGGTGGGCAAATCTGATGTAGAACATAGGATGGAGGGCAAATCTGATGTAGAACACAGGATGGAGGGCAAATCTGATGTAGAACATAGAATGAAGGGCAAATCTGATGTAGAACATAGGATGGAGGGCAAATCTGATTTAGAACATAGGATGGTGGCAAATCTAATGTAGAACACAGGATGGAGGGCAAATCTGATGTAGAACATAGGATTGAGGGCAAATCTGATGTAGAACATGATGAAGGGCAAATGTGATGTAGAACATAGGATGGAGGGCAAATCTGATGTAGAACATAGGATGGAGGGCAAATCTGATGTTGAACATAGGATGGAGGGCAAATCTGATGTAGAACATAGGACGGAGGGCAAATCTGATGTAGAACATAGGATGGAGGGCAAATCTGATGTAGAACATAGGATAGAGGGCAAATCTGATGTAGAACATAGGATGGAGGGCAAATCTGATGTAGAACACAGGATGGAGGGCAAATCTGATAGAGAACATAGAATGAAGGGCAAATCTGATGTAGAACATAGGATGGAGGGCAAATCTAATGTTGAACATAGGATGGAGGGCAAATCTGATTTAGAACATAGGATGGTGGCAAATCTGATGTAGAACACAGGATGGAGGGCAAATCTGATGTAGAACATAGGATTGAGAGCAAATCTGATGTAGAACATGATGAATGGCAAATCTGATGTAGAACATAGGATGGAGGGCAAATCTGATGTAGAACGTAGGATGGAGGGCAAATCTGATGTAAAACATAGGATGGATGGCAAATCTGATGTAGAACATAGGATGGAGGGCAAATCTGATGTAGAACATAGGATGGAGGGCAAATCTGATGTAGAACATAGGATGGAGGGCAAATCTGATGTAAAACATAGGACGGAGGGCAAATCTGATGTAAAACATAGGATGGAGGGCAAATCTGATGTAGAACATAGGATGGAGGGCAAATCTGATGTAGAACATGATGAAGGGCTAATCTGATGTAGAACATAGGATGGAGGGCGAATCTGATGTAGAACATAGGATGGAGGGCAAATCTGATGTAGAACATAGGATGGAGGGCAAATCTGATGTAGAACATAGGATGGAGGGCAAATCTGATGTAAAACATAGGATGGAGGGCAAATCTGATGTAAAACATAGGATGGAGGGCAAATCTGATGTAGAACATAGGATGGAGGGCAAATCTGATGTAGAAAATCTAGGGCATTTATACCATTTTACGGTATACTAACACGAAGCACATGCCAACATGAATGTAGGATGTGTTCTACATTTAGAACGAAGAAAATCAAAATGAAATCTATAAACGTCATCCCGATCGTCCATAGCATAACGCAACGAAATCATATATACCTAACCACCCCTTTCGTGTTATACAATACGTGCATTATCCATTGGCATTTTGACTAATTCTTGGAGAGCCAGTGTCAAATAGCACTTGTGTTTGCATAAAGAAAGCTGTATGTCGCAATATCAGTAGGCCCCACAAACATTAAGACAAGAACTGAATACAGTTTTTACAAAGACTTTGTTTTCTATACCTTCCTGCCTACCCATAACTTTAAAATAACACTTGATGTAGAATATTGATATCTCGGTCACAAAAACTGCTCATTACGGTTCTATAATTAGGATTAGTTAATGAGCGCTATGATTAAAAACTCTACCACTTCAGACGAATTATACACACCAAGTGTTCGCTAAAATAGTAATTTTGTTGAAGAACAGTAAGATATTAATCGAATGTTGCATGTTGTTTTTCTAGTAAGACACGCTACAGACACAGGTTCGGATCCAAATCTGGCACCGTGGAACCAATAATCAATCAACGAAATGTGTGCTAAAACTCCATCCTTCCCCATCATTTCCCCATCCTTCCCCATCTTTTCCCCATCGCCTCTTTGTTGATGCCATAGACCGGCTGTCCCATCATCCATTGGGAAACGAACTGTATTTCCGGCAGGGAGAAGACACTAAATGGCGGCCACCGGAAGCAGATAATTGTCGGAAATGAAAGTGCCTATAGAACGAGGTCGGTGTCCCCCCCCCCCCCCTTCCTCCGAGCGCAGGTATTTCTGATTCACGCGATTGGACGGGCCTCTGGTCACGCTATGGTGGCCGGTGACAGTACACGCTTGATATCAGGGGTGGGGGTGGGGTGTCAGTACATGACATCGATAAGTTAAACATGTGAAGTTAAGGGGTGGGGGTGTCAGTACATGGTATCGATAAATTTAACATTGGAAGTTAAGGGGTTTGGGTGTCAGTACATGGTATCGATAAATTCAACAATTGAAGGTGAGGGGTGGGTGTGTCAGTATATAGCATCGATAAATTTAACTTCGGAAGGTGGGGGGTGGGGGTGGGGGTGTCAGTACATGACATCGATAAATTTAAGATTGGAAGGTGAGGGGTGGGTGTGTCAGTACATGACATCGATAAATTTAAGATTGGAAGGTGAGGGGTGGGTGTGTCAGTACATGGCATCGATAAATTTAAGATTGGAAGGTGAGGGGTGGGGGTGTCAGTATATGGCATCGATAAATTTAAGATTGGAAGGTCAGGGGTGGGGGTGTCAGTACATGGCATCGATAAATTTAAGATTGGAAGGTGAGGGGTGGGTGTGTCAGTACATGGCATCGATAAATTTAAGATTGGAAGGTCAGGGGTGGGGGTGTCAGTATATGGCACCGATCCGTTTAACACCGGAAATGTAGGGTAGGTTGATAGTACAAAGCATAGATACGCGGAACAACCGGGGTTAGGATAAGGGTGGGGGTTATAGCAGAGGCGTATCGACTCTTCTCGCGACCGGGGACATATGTGCCCCCCCTGTCCCCTCATCGCTACGCCTCTGGGTTATAGTGGAGAGTGGGAAGAGACATTTGGGATTCGATAAAAGATGCCACATCATTATAGATGTATAGCCACACCCAAAGCTAACCCAAACCAAGCCAGGAATAGGAACACCTAAACCCGACTCCAACGTTAAATAGATGGCTAAGTCTACAGTGTCTACATGTATAACAAACGCCGGTGCCTTAATGTTACTTTGGCTGCTGATCCTTGCAGGTGTGTTCTTCAGTACAGGTCATAAGGGCATCCGATTAGGGCATCTCGTTAGGGATTACAGTAGGGCACCACTAGGGGAGCACATCAGGGCATCAAACTAAGGCATCATATTAAGGTACTTCCAATTCGAATCCGGGTTCAAGTCAGTAGAACGTCCTTGAGACCACCCAGCTCAGAGGAGTACCTAACTCACGTTAGGGAAAGTAAAGGCGGCTGGGCAAAGTGCTGAGGTCAAGAAACATATGAACTCTACTTCATCTGCTTAATGGATTGCTAGGTCTAAAGATGAATCTTTCCATTAAGGCACCAAACCAAGACGCTTATAACAAAAGATGGTATCCAATCCGGGCATCACCTTGAGGCATTATATAAAGGCATACCACCTGAGCATGACATTAGGAATCAGCCGCAACCTAAACTTTGTGATACACATATCCGCAACCTAAACTTTGTGATACACATATCCGCAACCTAAACTTTGTGATACACATATCCGCAACCTAAACTTTGTGATACACATATCAGCAACCTAAACTTTGTGATACACATATCCGCAACCTAAACTTTGTGATACACATATCCGCAACCTAAACTTTGTGATACACATATCCGCAACCTAAACTTTGTGATACACATATCAGCAACCTAAACTTTGTGATACACATATCCGCAACCTAAACTTTGTGATACACATATCCGCAACCTAAACTTTGTGATACACATATCCGCAACCTAAACTTTGTGATACACATATCCGCAACCTAAACTTTGTGATACATATATCCGCAACCTAAACTTTGTGATACACATATCCGCAACCTAAACTTTGTGATACACATATCCGCAACCTAAACTTTGTGATACACATATCAGCAACCTAAACTTTGTGATACACATATCCGCAACCTAAACTTTGTGATACACATATCCGCAACCTAAACTTTGTGATACACATATCCGCAACCTAAACTTTGTGATACACATATCCGCAACCTAAACTTTGTGATACACATATCCGCAACCTAAACTTTGTGATACACATATCCGCAACCTAAACTTTGTGATACATATATCCGCAACCTAAACTTTGTGATACATATATCCGCAACCTAAACTTTGTGATACACATATCCGCAACCTAAACTTTGTGATACATATATCCGCAACCTAAACTTTGTGATACATATATCCGCAACCTAAACTTTGTGATACATATATCCGCAACCTAAACTTTGTGATACACATATCCGCAACCTAAACTTTGTGATACACATATCAGCAACCTAAACTTTGTGATACATATATCCGCAACCTAAACTTTGTGATACATATATCCGCAACCTAAACTTTGTGATACATATATCCGCAACCTAAACTTTGTGATACACATATCCGCAACCTAAACTTTGTGATACACATATCAGCAACCTAAACTTTGTGATACATATATCCGCAACCTAAACTTTGTGATACATATATCAGCAACCTAAACTTTGTGATACATATATCCGCAACCTAAACTTTGTGATACATATATCCGCAACCTAAACTTTGTGATACACATATCCGCAACCTAAACTTTGTGATACATATATCCGCAACCTAAACTTTGTGATACATATATCCCACATAGTGGACTCCGTGACCCCAAACACCGACCATCTCATTAGCATATACAGGTGTTTAGGTGCCACCTTGCCAACAGGTGTTGCTATGATGCATCACCCTCAGGGCCCACAACCTATCACGTCATGTGATACAAGTTCGCTAATAAATAAAACCCCAGCTCACATAGCGATCAGCTATTTTTAGACTAAATTACAATAAGCATTGACTAATTATATGACTGGCCAATGGAATTCGGGCACGCTCGCCAGCCTGGCTAATGAGAAATTAATTGACAAATTAAGAAAGGTAATTAAAAATGACCAGTTTAATATATTGTAATTAATTATGTAATGATGTTGGGTTTCTAAAGAATAGGTATTTAAAACGATGGTTGCAACTTTTAGCCGGAAACGCGTCAACAGTTATTTTTACTTCAGTCCCTCGGTATAAAGGTCATCTAAATTCTTCCAGTGTACGCAGCTAGGTGTGTTAAGTAGAGTCTTTCCATTCTTAACCAGTATTCAAACCCGGTACGAGTAGCTAGTAGTCAGGCTCTCTGCCGTTTGACCACACAGGCTCTGTAGTTTGAGGCGTCGTCTGACTGAAAGTCTCAAGTTCGGCTCCGTATGACGTCAAAGTGTCCACCCAGCTCTAATGGGTACCCATCACGTCAATGGGGGTTAACAGAGAGGTCGGAAAGTGTAACTTTTAAAACTTTTTCTATGTGATTGAAAAATATTTATGGAGCGCACATTAAGGAAATATAAAACAAATTAGCGATAATGAAATACATAACGGGCACTATTGAAATAAAAGTCTCACAACGCGATGTGGTTCTAGTGAATTCTGGCCGCTGGGTCTGACAAATGTTATGCACGCGATTCGTGTTCGCTCGTTATTCAAATCAGAAATGTCTTCCGATGTCCGGACAAAGTCGCCTGGTTCTCGCCGACAAGGCATCCATCTTGCCGACCCTGACAAGATGGTGGACATATTTGTGGAAAGTTGGCGAAGGTGGGCGGGAAGTGGTGTACATCTGACGATGGTAATATTCAAATCTTGTCTGCTGGAGTGAAGTGGAGGTTAAGTGGTGCAGTTGATAGATAGCTCACTGGAGGCAGAGTTGTAAGAATACAATGCGCTGGGCGGAGAACTTCAGAAATTGTACGCTTGCTGACTGGAATAAAAGTACTAAAACCACTTTATATTTTCATTTTAATACATATTAAAGTATTTACCCGGATATATATATATATATATATATATATATATATATATATATATATATATATATATAT